GCTCCTACACAGGTTTTTCAACACACAGGCTTATATTATCACCACCCAGTTTCTGCCACACAGGCTACATCACACAGGCTTTAATATCACCACAGTTTCCACTACACAGGCTGCTCCACACAGGTTTTTCAACACACAGGCTTATATTATTAGGCTTATTTTAGGCCTACATCCATGTTATATTATCACCACCCAGTTTCTGCCACACAGGCTACATCACACAGGCTTATCACCACAGTTTCCACTACACAGGCTGCTCCACACAGGTTTTTCAACACACAGGCTTATATTATCACCACCCAGTTTCTGCCACACAGGCTACACCACACAGGCTTATCACCACAGTTTCCACTACACAGGCTGCTCCACACAGGTTTTTCAACACACAGGCTTATATTATCACCACCCAGTTTCTACCACACAGGCTACACTACACAGGCTGCTACACCACAGTTTCCACTACACAGGCTGCTCGACATATGTTTTTCAACACACAGGCTTATATTATCACCACCCAGTTTCTGCCACACCAGGCTACACTACACAGGCTGCTACACCACAGTTTCCACTACACAGGCTGCTCCACACAGGTTTTTCAACACACAGGCTTATATTATCACCACCCAGTTTCTGCCACACAGGCTACACCACACAGGCTACACCACAGTTTCCACTACACAAGCTGCTCCACACAGGTTTTTCAACACACAGGCTTATATTATCACCACCCAGTTTCTGCCACACAGGCTACACCACACAGGCTTTAATATCACCACACAGTTTTCGCCACACAGGTTTCTCAACACACAGGTTTATCACCACCCAGTTTCTGCCACACAGGCTGCTCCACACTGGTTTTTCAACACACAGTTTGAGTTTCCGCCACACAGGCTACACCACACAGGTTTCCAACAATCCTCCACACAGGAAGACCATACAGGATTTCCAACAAACAGATTCCGCCACACAGGCTACACCACAGTACACAGGTAACAAAATTAGTACACAAAGTCTATGCCGAAACATGTAATCACACACCTCGCCCTCCCCACTCGATATCGAATTCACATGCAAATGCGTTTATCCGTCACCCTCCCCACTCGGTACGTGATGGTTTACGAGACAGTAAAAAAATGATTCAAAATCTAGAAAATGCCACCATTCACTGGTTTTACAAGTCCACACTAGGTTCAAGTATTACTTGTGCGCTAATCTAGAAGAAAAACCACAGCACATTAGTACAATAAGACGTAAAAATGGGAAAATACTCGGGAGCTCGCGTGTTGACTGCCGCTCACCTCCGAGCCTGCGCAATCTCATAGAACATAAAGCAGAGAAAACAAATAAGTGACGACGATCACCCGGATCCACTGATAACCTGATAACCTGAGACATGTCTGGGCGAGGGTAGAAAATTCTCAGAGGGTGTCACTCGGGAACCAGATTCAAATGTGAAGAACTGTATCGATTTGATGAGTTAATTTACATTTTTTTTTACATTACATAAATTGAGTTGCAAAAATTTGTTGCAAAGATTATTACGACATCTACGACAGTTACAACAGGAAACAAAATTGACCCTATATAGGTGACTTTGTGTGCATATGTTTGTGTGCATAAACGCGTAACTCCAAAGGCCTTACAAATTAGTTTCCCAGGAAGTGTTCAAAGAAATCGCGGTATACACACACGAAACCCAGCTTAATTCGAGGAGTAAAACCGTTTCCAGCGTAGGTGCAAGTTTTGAATCACGGACGCAAAATTATAAACATCATGAACAGGGCCTCAATAATAAAAAGCGAATAAAAGTATTGAAATAAAAAAATATGGGGATACGTAACGACATATCGTTGAACTTTGAGCATGAAAATTTAAAAATGCTATCTGTGATCGCTACATTTTTACCAAGAATCAATTTGAAAATTACCTTACAAATACTGCAATTTAACCGCACTAAATTTGAATTGAATGCTGGTATTGGTTCGTACATGATCGTCTGTATGTAACTCTGTCATTCTGTCCTTGCTTCAAAATTAATAAAAATACAGCAATGCCCGTCTGACACTAGGTAGTATGCCTTTGTTGTTTAATAACGTTATACAAAGAGACGGGCGACATTAATACCTACTATGCCGCAGCAAATAAAATACTGGACTTACAAGAGGTATCAGCCTTGATGAAACCGTACGTGAATAAATTCGTTTGGCCGAATCTTGGTTGATTTTGTGCAGTGTAAGTTTTTAACCGCTCCTTTATGAGTGGTCTCTGAGAAATGCCGACGTGTAACTGCGGCTGATTCAAATCAAAGCTCTGTTTGTTGTTACTGCCGTGGTATATTTAAGTCTCAAATTTCTGTGATCAAACTTAACGGGCTTTCTGGTGTGTCTTATTGATGTGTCTTATTAAAGTGGTGCAATAACATCTGGTAAAAAAAAACGGGTAAGAATATCTTGATACCTAATTTTAAGACGTGGGAAATCGAACCGGTATGTTTTATACTTTACGTCAGCAGGCCATTAACGTGGCACCGATACAAAATCCTATCGTGAAAGTTCATCTGTGTTGGTAGAAGTCATTATGCAGCAAGTTTAAACTGTAATTTCCAACACAAGAAATTGGACTCACCCAAATTTTCGACTGTACAACTCCAGTCTTTGTCAAGGAACAATCTACCGCTTCCGTGACGTCACGCAGATAACATACATGACTCCGTGAGCAGTGGATCATAGGTTGCAGAAAGTCTCTGGCGCCCCCCGCCTCTGTTGTTGCCTTCAAAAAGGAGGCATATCCCGTCCGTTTGGCACGCTGTGAGATTTTTTCACTTCCGAAAAACGCGAATCCGAAGTTGGTAGACAAGGTCTCATACCGCAATTACTCCGCACGTGTTGGGTCTAAAAGTGTCCCGACAAAAAAATGATTGTGCCCGAACAGCGTGAGTTTAGGTCCACCATAAAATCCCTTTCATCACTCAGACCTGATCTAAAAAGGATTTGAGGTGAAAGCCTGTTTATTACTGACAGGATCAGGCAGGGAAGTTCGGCGTCCGAGCGATTGTCGGACGTATACGCTTATTTTGACCTGAGTACTGCGGTCGGGCACAGTGAGCAAAAAGAGGGCCTCTTGCGGATCATGGGTAATTGCGGTTATACGTGACGTAAATATCGAACTAGCGGTTAGAATTGGGGAAAATTTTTTAATCGTTTACATGATACGTGTTCTTGGTATGGACAGCAAAAAATCTGTTGATATACGATTTTTTGAATGGATTCACAGCCAAAGTAGTGGCCTATTTTAACGTGTAAGTCTACGGGACAGCGAAATTGGCGTATGAGACCACAAAACCGACCTCCTGGCGGCGGCGGGCATGTTTATATTTCCCGCGCTGAGGTGTTAGAAATAGGGGAGCCACTTTTAGGAGTGAATTGTGGTGACTAGAAATTATCTGAAAACATTAACTTCGCTATCTTTTTTGTCTGGCTTTTATCAATCTTTAAGAGGAGTTTTCAGAGGAAATGTACCAAAAAAAGCCAATATAGTTTTGGAATATTTTGTATCCTGCCGCAATTATAGAGTCATAGCTTGCAGGTATAAACAAAATAAAGTGTATCCTGTTTGAGACTAAACATTACAGCCGGCAGTAAAACACAGCAAACCTCCGGTTGTACCTCCCTGCGACTGAATAAGGGCTGCTTTTCTACAGTCAGGTATGATCATTATGCCATTTTTTTCTCAATACTTTCATGTCATGTGGTATCTATTATGTTCGTGTGACAAGAACAGCCTTCATCAACCCTCAAAGAGGCTGGCGTTTTATGGTTTTAGTGGCTGGTTTCTGATCGCTAGTGGATAGCTTATCTAACAAATCAGAACACGGCATCGAGTAGAACATAGCAAAAGGCCCGCACATTTATTCTGCTCTACATGAAAAAAAAGGCGAGGTCACTCCGCTCACTTATAGTTAATCAGACTCGTAAAAGAGTAAAGAGCTGACGACTAGATGAAAATAGCAACAAAAACATTTATACGCCTTCAAACTTTGGAGTTTTTTTAAAGACTAACTATTAAGCCTAATACGATGAATACAATGTTAATGCATACGATCCTGCAAATCATCTTACCAAGGTAACTACTAAAACAGCCAACATGAGGCGCTCTGATCAGTGGTGCCGTCCACTATAACTACCCGGATGTAAACAAACATGGCGCACGGCGGTGTTTCAAGCTTTTAAGGTAGCAGGTCACAGTATTAATGGGCGACCCCCGGGACGATGACGCGGGTATAGAAAGTAGTGCAGCGAATATTCTTGAAGGCTGGGTAGAAAGCCTGATAAGAGCGTCAGCCAGATGTAAATTGTGCTGTGTGGTGTAGAAATGTATCGGGTTTGAGACTGTATTATTTGATTTGTGAAGGTTTTGCAGTTCGTGTATAAATGCGCCGTATTGTGCAACTGGCCTTCCGGGTGAGTCGGCTGCAGTTCAGGTCACGTCCGTAGGAGGCGATTTCAAAGTGTACGTTACGAGCAGATACGCCGACAGGATTTTTTGGTTTCTAGATATTTTGTAGTTTGTATATACCTTCTTCTCAAACATATTCGATTTTCGTATTTGTGAAGTGCACCCTGCTATAATTTTTACCGCGTCGAAGTGAGTCATCTTGGGGTCCTTAACTATAGAAATCCCCATAGGGCGAAAACTGTGTTCTGCTACCTTAACCCTAAACAGTACACCTGGGGTCCGCGCGGACCCCAGCACTATATATTCTGTAATATCTTTTTTGTTTCTAAAGATTTTTTTCTGAAATTTTAGGTAATTGTCACCCACAAAGTTGTCTCTCAATACAGTGCAGAAAACTCCGTTTCTACCATTTATAAAAAAAATTATATCTGATTTTCTTTTGGTGTCCGCGCGGACCCCAGCCGGCTTTCGATCATAATGGATACACTGGCGTTCTTATACATTACCTTATTTCCGTTTTTATATGTTTTTATGCACTCATCGTCTGTCTACCAAGTTTTCAGAGAATGGTGTAGTAATAGAATTAAATTTTAATAACTTTGGTGTAATTATGACGTCATATGACGTCAGAGCTAATAATATAGTCCGCCATATTGGATTTTGACCAATGACGTCATCAAATTAGCATATTCTATGCATATTAAATGATTTAACATATATCTTATTATGTAAGATGTTATTAATGTTGGAAAAGAAGTGTAATTTAATAGAAAACTCAGAAAATTTTTATATTTAAACCAAAATTACTTCTATTTTCAAAAAACTGCCTGCTAGAAACCCGTTGCCATGGCAACACAAAAAACATCAACTTACTAGTATTAAACTAATATGAACTTTTTTCCAGAGACATTTTAGGAAAGGTCTCCAAATTTGATACTTCTAGCGCAAGCCGATTAGCAGCTATCTGAGATCAAAGTTGGGCCTCAAAAGCCCCTTCAGTCTGAAATGGGTTAAAAAAATCGGGTATTTCTTCTTGTCTTCTTTTCTTCTACCAAAAAATAGAAAAAGTTCAAAATGTATGATTTTTGTATGTAATGTGGACACAGAGGTTCTCACATCAGTTTGCAAAACAATTGAGCTGGTAGCATGTTGATAATTTCTAAAAATTAGCAAAACAAGACTTTTGAAAAAAGTTTATCTCGGCCGCTGGCCATGTAGTTTTGTGTTCTTGGAGGATGTCCACATAGATTTGTGTAACTGCTAGAGAGGAAAGAATGTATTACCTAGTATGTTCATACCTGTAACACCAAACAGGGTAATAAGTTGGCTTCCATTATCATTTGCTTCAATGGAATTAGTGAAAAATATTAATCTCGAAGCAGATGTTGGGAGGGAAAATGTTTAGGTAGAGATACAGATTTTCATTTGTGATTGAAGATTTGAGAGACAGGAAAGAGTTTAGGATATGTATGTGGAGCTAATTTCTCTGTTAGAGTAGGTTACACAGCTCTATGTATGGGGAAGACATTTTTTGGAATCAGTAGTGTCATGTTGTATATTACAGAGGAACTATGTTTCATCTGTATGTCTCATTGAAATTGTAATGTCTGGACAATACTGATGAATAAAGAGCAAAGATGCATGTGTCAAAAGTGAAATGTTTTATTTTGGTATAACTTCATGAGACAACACAAAATGGAGTGGCTACAATAACAGAGCTGTCAAACGTTATCAAGCTTAATGCACTAACATATTGTTAGGTTGTACGAATTCATAAATTTTTCACGGGGGGGGGGAGGGGGCGATAACGTAA